GTGATTGTTACGCGGACCCCAAACAAGTAGTCTGCATCTATTAACATGGCTCAGACTAGAAGTTAGTGACCTAAAGCACTGATGCCACGTTTTGGTTTGGCCGCCTCTAACTTTCATCCAACCATCTCTAACACCAGCCAGCATTGCACGTCGTGGTAATCGGTGTTCGGGCACACGCAACACGTGGCCAAACTATCTCAGTTGCTGAAGATTCACGACCTCATCAGCTGATTTATCATCGTTTCCTAATACCTTGCATCTAACCTCGCTGTTACTTATCCGATGGGCGCAATATTTCTAAGACATCTTAATCAAAAACTTAACAATCTTCACAACCCCTTAACCGATAAAATATATTCATTATCAATTAGCCAATGAAATACAAGCTTTCTTGGAAATGTCCCATATATACATATACATTCAGAAAGTCAGAATCATAAGTGAAGTTTCCAATTTATTTATTCATATTAACAAGCAATTACAATGAATGAATATATCAACAATTAATCGTCAACAAGAATCCCGCCCCTCAACCCCTCCCCAAATGATTGATTTCATTATGTATAAAGGTTTATTAGTATATGGCATATTATTACAAGCAGCGTATTACTTATTTAAGCAATAAGAGAAGAAAAAGAAACACATTCACAATAAGCATAAATATCTTATATGAAGTTAATATAGGCACATATGAGTTAGTATGAGGATAGATGAATATCCAATCAAATCCTTATTGATCCTAATGATAACAATAGTTGAGTAGTTGCCAATTAGATGTAATCCATTCACGAGTTGTTGTATATTATCAGCGATGATGTCTTTGTTAAGGATCTTTTGTAATTTGTACAATGAAAGGTTGTATACTTTTTTTTAGAAAGATACCTGAATTGATGATGAGACTAATGTATATACATATACATAGATATATCTATATATATATCAATGAAGATACATATTCGATTAGAAAAGGATAAAGTGTTACAGTTGAGGAACTGTTGAAAGTGAAGATCAATATCAAGTTCATCTTTGTTGAAGATAAAAGTATATTGATTTCAATGATGTAAAGGATTGAGATGGTGGAGAAGATTTGTAGCTGAAGTGGATGATTTTGATGGGGCTTTGTTCTCTGAGCTGGATGGTTTGGTCATCCATCCAGCTAAGAGAACAAAACTCCATCAAGATGTAGAGGGTATGTAATACGGTATATGTTCATTACAATTTCATATTTCTTTGTTGGTTTTGATCTAAAATAGATAAAAACGACAATATATATATATATCAAAATATGATTAGGATATGTTTATTAAAGGTTTAATTTACAAGGTAGTAGAGCGACGTCAGGAAGTGCAGTTACATGTTAGCCAGCAAACAAATAACTGGTTAATACACTTTTTGTTTTCTCAGAATCATGAAGTCTATGTTCACTATTGGTTTGGAATGAATGTCTTCCAATTCCTCTACATGGATCCACTAAATCCAACAACTCGGTTAAAGTATCGGACATTCGTAAACAACACCCTTTGGTGAAAAGGCAGGAATTCCTTATCAGTGGTTGTATACATGCCAGGGTTGAAGCTATCACGAGTTAACTTAATCTGTGAACAAGAAACAAGACTTGGTGACCAAAGACCAGTAGGCCAGCTTTTGATGCGTCCCAGCCACGCTAACTAGAGGAAGAAGTCCAAGCTTGGAATGGGGAAGTATATTCTGCAAAACAGACGGAAACGAGCGATAACAACACACACAAAACCGTCCTTAGGAAGCGTTATTTAATAGCATACAAAAAGACGCGACGGAACAATAGCATTTAAGATTCTCCCAAATGGGAAATATGACATGATGGTGAAAAGAGAGTTTTTAGTGCGAAAACAAAAATTTTCACATTTTCAGGATGAAATTACAAAATTAGGACCTTTTCCAAGTGAGTTCTGAGAATCCAACGTACCCAACAATACACGTGGTCATTTGAGAGCATTTCGAGTGGGAGAGCTGACTCTTCACACTTTCGGCTATACGAGTGTATTTGGGGGCAACAGGAAGAACAACAGGGAAGATTTGTTTGCATATAGCATACAATACTCTTTAAACCTAGTACACAACAGTACCATCATGTACTATCCCATCGTAATTGGTAGAATAGGCATCCTGAAATTCACGAAAACACAATCAGGGTATACAATAGTAAATAAGACAATAATATTTATATTTTAATTTCATGATTTTTTGAACTTGATTAACACGTAAAATCCATCAATTGTATATTTTTGGTCATTAAGTAGTGATCAATATATTATGGTTGTTTAGCCCTCTGGTGCTGATTGATTTCTGACAATTTAGTTGTCATGTTGCCAAGATGCCGCCAAATGCAATAGTACGGCCGAGGGTGGGGAGAGTCAGCTCTCTCCCTCTCCAAATGCTCACACAAGGCCTAGCATATACAGTCATTGCCACAGAAGTCTAACTCACTGCGTTTCAACAGCAATACTGTTGTTTACGAAATTGAGAGGACAAAAAGCGAATGTCCGACGCTTTGACGGGGTTGATGGACATGGAGAACCCACCTAGGAGAGTTGGAAAACCCTCATCGGAAACCAATGGTGCACTTGGGTTTCAGGATACTGAGGGGGCAAATAGCGTATGAATCTATTGCTGGTCAACCGGCCATCACGGTACTGCATCTCCTTACGTTGCACCACCGCTTTGTGAACTAGACCTTCAGGTCGAAAGCTCCGGGTGTGGCTCCCTAAGTAAACCACATAGTTTGGTCTGTGCATCAGAGCAGTGTCACAGCCCACACACAAATCAATTGACTTGTGCGGTGCATATGTATTCAGTGCCCCTTTTGTATCAATATTTATGTGAACAAATAAATAAAATAAGTATTTGTTTCTAATCCAACTGATACGATATTGTATAGACTGTGCTGAAGTACTAGATGATTGAAGGTAGTTGGAATAAATACCATCAACTAAGGTTTTGTGTTAGTTGGGGCTCATTAAGGGAGGAATGAACGTGATGTCGGATCAGATTAACTAATTATTGCGTTGTAAATTATTCTGCAGAATTCGATCAACATTAAGGATTAAATGAATACGATATTGATCACTATTCACCAATCAATCGATTGTAAATAACTCTCAGTCCTACAGGAGGTTAGTCAAGGCTACTACTTCAGTACGACTGAAGTCGTACTGTAGACTGTGTAATGGCGGTAAGGTGTTCCCTTCAACCAACTAGCATAGCAGAGATGCTGCCCATAGGGAACGGTGGGTTTAGAAATGGTCAACACTAAAAATGCGCGCTTCACCTGATCCAACAGGTATCCGTCTCCTACGATAAGGTCTCAACAAGAACAGAGCTAACACGAAAATTGGTGACAAAAAGGTCGTGTGTTATTCCTTTAGCACTGCGGTCACTCTCTCAGCTCACTAAAATTATCTTTAATCCAATTTTCTTTACAGATACCTCCGGAATAACCTTTCCGTGGTGTCAGTCAGTCAGTTACATCGTGAAGCTTTGTACGTATGTACATCAGTTCGAGTTGCCATACCACATTAGCACAGAGATGCAGTTATCAAATCAAATCCCGTAGTGATAGACGTAGTAAAAGTATGAGTAGTAATTGAAAACATTAGGGCTTGAAGAGATTATTCAAGGAGTATAATCCAATGAAATAAATTTCGAAAGAGAAAAAGAGGGAACATGAAGAAATCAAAAGAATAGAATTTGGGAGAACACAAATAGTGTATACACCTACGCCATTGCAAACGATTTTGAGTCATGTGTCATTCAAGGTCTCCAACCAACGGTTGCTATCGTATCACGAATCCCAACCAGGTAGTCTACATCTACCAACATGGCTCAGTCCACCTGTCAGTGACTTCATGGATTTGTGCCATGTTTTGATCTAGCCGCCCCTAGCCTAACGTACTCCTACACCGCAAAACATTGGACGTCGATGCAGTCAGTGGTTGGGCATACGTAACACATGTCCCAACCATCTCAACTGATGAAGTTCCACTACTTCATCAATTGATTTGCTATCCTTACCTAGAAATCGTTTCCTAACAATTGTATTACTTACTCGGTGGTCCCAGGATATATGAGCAATGTTTCGAAAACACTTATGATCGAATACTAGTAAACGACGAATATCCTTTACTCTTACCAGCCATGTTTCACTGCCATAAAATAGAACGAAACGAACTACTGCGCAGTAAACCCGTCTTTTGATTGGTAGTCGAATATCTCGCCTACGCCATAAATGACGCAAGTCGGCAAAAGCTAGTCGAACCTTCTGTATCGATGAATTAATAACTGCGCTCATACCTCTAACAACACTCAAGGTCGCTGTGTATCTTTAATTGAATCATCAGTTCAACTATTATAATACTGTAATCTTTCCTAAATCCTAATCACTTCAATCAATTACTTCACTCATTTACTTGATTCTTTATTCGTATAAACTATCATCTTGCATAATTGATTGATCAATAGGTGGTGACCAATGTCACATGTGCCAAGTCCTCATTAGTGCAGGACGAATCCTCTCGACCATGATGCGATTTGGTCACCAGTCTAGGTGACTCGACATTGCGTGCATTATACATTGAGACTAGATGGTGGTTGGAGGTAGTCAAGAGGAAACCCTAGACCCTGGTTTCGTGCTACTTCGCACTCGTCAGCAAGGTGTACCTATAATCTTGAGGAAATTAGTGCTCCTTGATGGATTCGTTCCCGTGTCACCCAGCTTCATGGTCAGAGACATTACCACTGGGCTATCCGGTCGGCGATAAAAATCCTGTAAGATTGAGACGTAATCACAATTGACTGATCACTGGGTGGTGACCAATATCATGTTTGTCAAGTCCTTATTTATTGAAGATCGAATCCTATCGACCATGATGCAATGTGACCACCAGTCCAGGTGACTCAACACTGTGTACCCAGGTCCAGGGTTTCCTGTCGACTACCTCCCACCAACATCTAACTATCATCTTTCACTTACATTGATCATCATAATAACTATGGTAATATGTATGTGATAAATATGAATTCGTACATGTTGAATAATCAATAGAATTTCCAATTGTTCTATGTAATGATGATTGTATATGTACATCATGGTTAAAATGATCATTTGTCAATGTTCCATTCATAGAACTATTCAAATGATTAATTGATAGATTTGATGTATTTATTGAAGTATATTTTTGTCCTATCAACTGATTATTATTATTGTAGTAATAATCATTAGTGTTGTGGTTGTTGCTATGGTTACCAGTGTCATATGAGAAAGGTAATGAACAGACTGGATTTGTATGTAAATGATTTGAGTAATCAAAAGGATCATTATAAGTAGTATTAATAGTAGTATCACTACTAGTAGTAGTATTGACATTTAGATGATCATTTATTGATTGATGAATGATATTTGTATCTGGCCAAATCGATTGATGATGATGATTATTGATTTTCGACGAATATTGATATTTTTTATTCGTCGATAAACAATTAATTAGATATGGTTTCTTTAATGATTGATGATGATTTTTGGTTGTTCTTGTTGTTGTTGTTGTTGATATGATAATTGGATGATTGAATTTTTGTTTACAATAAGATTGTATCCATATCATGATACTACTTATAATAATAATCAATAATATCATGGAAATAATCAATAAAATCCATAAAAATTGATGATTCTGAAGAGAATGATTAGATAACCAAAATGTCATTGTTTCCTGATTCGAATGAAGGATTGATTGATTGTTGATTATCGATGGATTAGATGAATGAATTTTAATAAAAAATTGTGTTTCATTTGATGATAAAGATGGTATACCCATATCTTTAAGTGATATCTTGATATGATAGATCCCTTCAATAGGTGGATCATATGATGGATTAGTATCCATATTAAACATTGTGGAATCATATGCTGAATCCATGAACCAATTTGTATATAATTTACCATTCGATTCATTTAAATAAAAATATTGACTACCATTAGTCAATGGATTTAATTGATATAAAATAGTACCATTTAAGCCATGATCTGGATCATAACCTTTCAATTGTATAACGAATGTATAAATTGGTGTATTTGTATAAATCATTATGGAATGATCTTGATCTGGATCTGGATCTTGATCTGGATCATAATCACCAATAACACTATTATAAATAGGATATATACATATTGGTATATTATCATTTTCATCTAATATATTGATAGTTAATGTATATGTTATACTATTGATTGATTTTATATTATTATTATCAGTATTATATGTAATAATTTCATAAAAAATTTTATTGATTTTTTCACGATCAATAATTAATTGATTAATCAATATTGCTTTTAATTCATATTCATTCATTAATTCCTTTTGATTGATTTGTTTATAATGAAAATTGATATCGGGTATAATTTTAATATAATGATTATATTGATGATTGATTGATTGATTATCGATTGATTGGTTATCGATCGAAGGATGATTGATTGATGGAATATTATCTAATAATAAATGTATCATTGAATTTCTGGAATCTTTATCTAAATCAATTAAGTGTATAAAATCAATAAAAGTATTGATTTTTTGATTTTCTTGAAAATCAATATTGACATGATTATTATTATTATATAATATTGGTAAATGTTCATTAATATCGATTAATTGTATGATTAATTGTGTATGAGTAGTTAAATTTCCTTTATCTATAGCTAATATAGTTAAATGAAAATATTCAATTTGTTCACGATCTAATAAATGATTATGTAATACTGTAATGATACCATTGAATGGATCAATTTGAAATGGTTGTTCATATTCTTGTGGATGTTTTGAATACTTCGAATGATCTGGATCCTCTTCATCATGATCAGAATCATGATCATCATCAATATAATTGAATGTAATTGATTTTAATTGATAAGTTAATTGTCCATATTCACCTTTATCTAAATCATAGGCTTTCATTTCAGTAATATATGATCCATCTGATAGATGTTCTGGTATTTTAATATAATATTTGGATTGTTTAAATATAGGTATATTATCATTTTGATCAGAGATAGCTACAGTGATACGAAATTGATATAGATGATTCAATAGATCCTTCTCATGGAAGTGTTGTAAAGTGAAATTTACTTTATTGAATAGATCTATATCAGCTAAATCATAACAATCAATTAATAATGAAGCATATTGAATCTGTTCATAATCAAATATACCTTTTGTAAATATAAAAAATACAGTATCTGAGACTGGATGTAAACGTAAATAATCTTGACCAGCTAGAAGTTCTTTATCTTGAAGATGAGTTGATTCTAATGGAGTTGGTTTACAAAGGATCTAAAAAGAAGAAAAACATCATTCATCTTGATGAAAGTTTATTGAATTCACCCATCCATTATTCCGCTCGAGGGATTCGAACTCGAGGCATTCAGTCTCGCCCGCGAACGCTTAGCCTACTGGACCACTGCTGAGGAGTCCTACAATAAGACGAAACGGTCGTCCAGTGCTTCCAAGTTTTCAATGGTGATCTAACATCAATCGGTTCATGATCTCAATCAAAAACTTAACAATTTCCACATCCCCTAAACAGATAATCTTGTATATTTTGATTGAGTTTTGCTCTGTGAATTGGATGGTTTGATCGTGGAGATTTCATCGTTCTACTGAATGACATCATCTGCAGCACAAATTTCAAGTGAAAGTGAAGTGTTCAGATTTTTTTATATGTGATTCACAACTTGTCCTGTACACCTCAATGTTGTTTGGTTCTGGTTGATCTTAAACCTGTGATTGTTTCCTTATTTGTTTCTACGTTTGCGTATTATTTTGCACATATGGAGAAATTCGAACACTTCACTTATACTTAAAGTTTGTGCTGATGATATCGTTGAGAAGAACAATGAAAGTATCACAACCAAACCATCCAGCTCAGAGAATAAAACATCATTAAAATGATTAACCTGAGCTACAAATATTCTTCACCATCTCAATCTCATATATGTTAAGTTTTAGAATGATACTTGTCACTGGTTCAGTGTTTATGTTATGACATGTAGCAGTTGTAGCCTTTTAATAATCATTTACTTAATTAGGTCTGTTACTCCTCGTGGAGAAGCGTAGGTCACTCACCAGCATTCCCCATCCAAACTTGTCCTGGGCACACCCTTCCAGATCTTTCCAGTTGTTATTCTTCCTTTTCATATCTGCTTCTATTTCCCGATGTAATGTGTTCTTTGGCATTTCCCTTTTCCGCTTCCCTTCAGGATTCCAAGTTAGGGATTACCTTGTGATATAGTTTGATGATTTGTGTAATGTATGTCCTATCCATTCCCATCGTCTTTTCCTAATTTCCTCTTCAGCTGAAAGCTGGTTTGTTCTCTCGCACAGAGGGCTGTTGCTGATGGTATCCGGCTAATGAATGTTGATTATCTTGCGTGGAATACTGTTTATAAATACTTTTATCTTCTTGATGGTGGTTGTTATAACTCTCCAAGTTTAAGCTCCATACAGTATAACTAACTGTGTTGACATTCGTAATGAAGATTCTGACTTTGATATTGGTTGGAGTTCGATATATTCTTCAATTGTGGGAATGCGGCCCTTGCATTGCCAATCCTCGCCCTTACGTCTGCACCAGATGCTCATTGTTGATCGATGATGCTTCCCAGGTATGTGAAGGATCCTACATCTTCCAGAGTTTTGCCATCAAGTGTGATTAGAGTGGTGTTCTCCGTGTTTTATTTGAGGACCTTGGTTTTCCCCTTGTGTATGTGCGGGCCAACTGATGGTAGCCCAATAATATGTAAACGTAATGATAACGGCAATTAGAGAACAGTGATTTATTGACCAAACCCACTACTACGAGTAGTCAAGATTCGATATCGATCCTTCTTCCTGACTAGCCCTGCATGCCCATTGAGTCCAGGACACCAAACTCAGCCTCTGCGATATAAACATACTTGGTCTATATAGAGACAAAACAGATCACATTGTACCGTAAAATGGAAAACAACATTTGTAAATCTAACCAAATGTGGTTGTGAATGTAGGAGACTGTAATGAATAGACTGGACATAACTCAAGAACGGTAAATCGTATAATAATAGTCTATGAGTCAAATTGAAGCTTATAATAGAAGGAATATGAATATACATAGTTTAGTTACTGAACAATTTTCACAATATAAATGTATGTATCGTATTGGTCCATAAACAGATTCCATTAGTTACCATCCACTATTCTCGTTGGGATAATAACAGTGTACATAATAAGCAAATATGGATAATGGCTAGCAGTGGAATCTACATTCTGGAACGTGAATCATAGATTCCACTACTAGCCACTATCCATCCAAGCCTATAATGCTTGTGAATCAAGGCAATATCAAGGTTATATGCATAGTATGCCAATAAGAGTCTGATCAATTGTAGCCATAAATATTAATTAGAAGATTCCATTAAAAATGCCTAGTGAATCCAATACATGGTAGTTCTTAATTAACAAAAGCTAAAAGCATAAATCACTAGAAATCAACTCGATGAGTTTAAAAACAAACAAACAAACGAAGCACTCCATAATGAGAATTAAATATCTCAGGTCCGACTTCCGGCAAGATCATAAGTGTACATTGTTATTCTATCTTTGTCCCAATTCGAAACTATGGGAAAACAACATCAACAACAACAACAATGACAAACAAGTAAACTTCTTTTCATTTGCATCTATTTCATAATAGGCACAGGATAGTTTTAATTAGTTTTGTGATACTTTTATTCATGCTAATAAAAATGTTTAGTTCTCATTAGGCAAACAATTTTCGGTCATCTATGTTATTGTTATGACCTCTTCTTCTTCTTCTCCATCTTCCTCTTCGCCTTCTACTCGGTCTTCTATTAATAGAATCATTGATCATGATTATCAAATAAGTGATTAGCTTATTGCGTGATACACATTTTCCAAGTAGGGAAGTGAACATAGTATTGATCAATCTGTATATGAATGAATTTATATATTATATCAGTATTAGGCTGATTGGTTGGAAGTCTTAGATGGTGATTGGAGGTAATCGACAGGAAACAAAAGACTCAGGTTTCGTGCTACATCACACTTGTCAGCAAGGTGTACCTATAATCTTGGAGGAAATTGTGCTCCTTGATGGATTCTATCCCGTGTCAACGAGCTTCACAGTCAGAGACGTTACCACTGAGCTATCCGGGCTACAAACAACCTGTTTCCTGTCGACTACCTCCAACCACTATCTAATCTTCAACATTATACATCCAAGATCCCGAACACGGGACACAAACTCAGTATTTTTGGCATCCAACAGTATTCATGTCTTACTTCAACAGGTCCACAAAATTGCGCCACCGTCCACTATTGTCTTTAATGAGTTACTATCTCACAATCTAATAGTAACAGCTTCTTACTCCTTCCACATGGTGATCACAAGTTTGGAAAATCCTACAATTTCCACCCCTCTATTTTGTTACCATCCTATTGAAAACTTTCATTCTAATGAATGTCTATTTTCTAGTTTTAAAATCCCCCCAAAAAACTAATGATAATCAATAAATTATCATAACAGCTGTCATTTTGATTGGTTTTGTTCCCATGTAGGGTTTATTTTGGTTAACGTTTCTTCTTTATATTTGGCAAAGTTAATTTCTATGGTTTGGGGTTTAATGACCCAATATATCTAATCCATCTTTCACTTTTTTCGTGTATGGGTTTGAGATTGGTAATAGTGTAGTGCCAGTCATTATTTTAAGCTCATAATATATCTTAATTCTAGTATTTGAACAAACCAACCCATTCATTCTACTTGAGTCATATTTTGACCATGTCAATTGTTCGCTTATCAGTCATGACTGTTTTTATATGAGCACGTAGGTGTGTGTACACTTCATATCCTATGTCTCATCAAATGTCTGTAGTTTATTTTGTCTGCCTATAAATATTGAGTAACGTCTGGCTAAACACGAGTTGGATTACCAGCCATCTCCCTTGCGCGTCATTTTACTTTGTTCTATCACATTCACTTTACACACAAAATATATGTATTCAAAGGCCATTCTCGTTAATTGACTTATCTAAGTTCCGTTATTGATCAACGTGATTAAGGTCGATGATTGTATACGAAGATAAGTGATAACAAACATTCGTACGATCTAAAAATGGAGTCATATCCATGGGCCACTAAAATAGCTTTAGACGAGCTACAAGTGGAGTTGTCAACATGTATACAATCATAGACACTATATATCTTGTTCAAATATAAATTGTTATTTAAGTAAAACGATAGATAACATAGAGCATTTTAGTTTGATATTAGATGATTGTAGATAGTAGTAGTAGTAGTAGTAGTAGTAGTAGTAGTAGTAGATGAAATGTGCCAGTGAGACACGGTGTATCTACAATTGTGATAGGAGATGATACAAACAACAACAAAAAGATTTGCGTGACTATAGTTTATGGACATCTATTCAGATTTACGATAATAGGTTTTGGATTTCGGCATGAAATCCTATATCTATCTTGTACGAAGATAGATAGTGTATAGCATTGAGATCGAAGTCACGCGTTTTGTCCTATTTGAGACTCGTCAGCTGGATGTACCTGAATCTCGGGGTTGATGTTTACTCCGGGACTCGAACCCAGTGCCGTCCGCTTCAAGCTCAATCGTGTTATCCACTTAGCTATTGAGTTCTGATAGTCACTTGCATGTACACAGTATGCACGTATACCACTATGAGACTGCAGTGCTAAACGCTAATGGAAAGATTCAAACAAACAATATCAAGTGAATTTTAATCCATTTGGCTTAATAGTGTCTTGATATTTTAGCTGATGTCAGTTTGTGATGAAACTCCAAATCCATTTCATATCTTTAACTATCAACTGTAAATTACAATCCTCATTCTTCATATTGGACGAAAACTCTCATTTAACCGAAGTCAGTAAGTGGACATTCTCAAAGCCTCTTTAACGTCACTCCAAGATCGTCTACAAATTATAGTCTCACCAGGAGGTCTAAGCACCTAATTTATACAAATATCTGAAAGGTTTTTTGAATATTACAGTGATTTCAATGGTGGAGATCGTGAGTCAATTGAAGCTAGACTACTATGGAAAACCTCGACGCATTGTACTGCCGTTTCGTCCTATTGTAAGACTCCTCACCAGTATGTCAGCTCTATTCTGGTCAAAGTTATTTATTCTAGGTGTTCAATGTTTATTATTAGATAAATAATTGATAGTAAATATATTTTCCTTATTTGAAGAATTAATTAGTGTGAAATTGTTCTTTTATCTTTCCTTCCCCCCACACTCACCTC